ATTAGTGAAATAAAGGTCTATCAATACCTAAAAAATTTTTTTTAAAAAGGAAATAAAAGACTTGCAAGTAAGAAAGGTAGAAATAAAATTTTATTTGCAAATGACACAAATTTTGTGTAGGAAATTCCAAGAAGTCTATAAAAACAAAACAAAACAAAAAGAAACATAATTTCTTAGGACTAATAAATGAATTCAACAAGTCACAACATACAAGACAACATTAAAAGTCAATTGTGCTTCTACACACTAACAATGAACATGGACAATAAAAACATAATATGTATAGTCATTCAGAAATCTGAAATACTGAAGTATAAATTAAAGCAAACATGTACAGACTTGTATATTAAAGTCTACAAAATATTCATAAAAGAAATTTCAAATAGCTGGGTGCTGTGGTACACACCTGTAATCCCAGTGGCTCAGCAGGCTGAGACAGGAGGATGATGAATTCAAAGCCAACCCCAGCAAAAGTGAGGTGCTAAGCAACTCCATGAGACACTGTCTCTAAATAAAATAAAAATAGGACTGGAGATGCGGTTCAGTGGTCAAGTTCCCCTGAGTTCAATCTTTGGTACCCTTCCCCCACTAAAAAAATAAATAAATAAATTACAAATAAATGCAGAGATATGTTGTATCCATGGTTTAGAAGACAAAATAGTAAAGATGTCAATCCTTCCCTACTGATTTATATGTAAGTTTAGTAAGTTCCTTATTAATATCTCAGCAAGTTCATTTTTTAACATAAAGATAAGTCATCCAATTTATTCAACCAATATTTATTCAAGACCATCTTTTGCCAAGTCATATGCCAGGCACTGGCAACATCAACAAGAGACAAATTCACAGTGTTTAAGGAACCTAAGTCCTATGAATGAGACAATCACAGAAGCAGAATAAAAACCACGCCCAGCAAACTTATTTCTTGTAACATAGTCAAGGTTATTCTAAAATGTATATGGAAAATTAGAATAATTCGAATAGCAAAATTATTTTGTAAAGAAAGAATAAAATTGATGAACCAGCTACCCAATTTCAAAACATCTTATTCAGTTTCAATAATCAAGACTGTGGTATTGATCAAAGAGTAAACACAGTTTCAATAATCAAGACTGTGGTATTGATCAAAGGTCATTGGAAATGAATAAAGAACCCAGACATGAATAAGCCCAAATTATTTTTTGACATTAGTGTAGGAGTAATTCAATTAATGAAAAGAAGAGAAAGAAATGAAAATTTTGAATTACATCTCACAACTTAAATGAAAATTATTCTAAAATAAATCATAGGTTTAAATTGGAACATAAAAATATAGCATTCTTAGAAAAAAAACCCACAAAATATATTTATAATCCAGAACTAGGCAAGTTATGTTAGACTTGAAATCAAAATGCAAATTCATAAAAGGAAAAATTTATAATTCCAAGTTCATCAAAATTAAAAAAAAGAAAAAAGAAAAGAAAGAAAGAAAAAGAAAAAGCTATAGCTCTAGCTATAGACTGGGAGAAAATATTTTCAAAGTATTCATGCATCAAAAGAGTGGTTTTTAGAGTATATAATAAATTACCAAATTCGATAATAAAAGAAAAGTACCAGAATGTGTAAAAAGCATGAAAGAGACACTTGAAGATGAGGGTATACAAATGGTAAATAGGCATATCAAAAGGTGTTAAACCTTAGCTATTAGGATGATGCAAATTAAATCAAATATCTCTATACACCTACTGGAGTGTCCAAAATAAAGAATTGTGACACCATTATAATGTGTCAAGAATATAGGGAGCTCATATCACCTACACATTGCTTGTGGGCTTCTTAAAACTGTATAGATACTCTGGAAGACTAAAATTTTCTTTAAAAGGTACTGAATATACAACTACCTCATCTATTTCACTCCTAAACATTTATGCCATGAAAATAAAAGCTTTGTACAAATCAAAACCTCTTTATGAATGCTCATAGAAGCTTTATTCAAAATATTCTAACAATGGAAACAACAGAGAAGTCTTTTAGTGAATGGATAATGTTATGGTTTATATGAGGTGTTCCCTAAGAGCTCCTGTGTGAGACAATGCAAGAAGTTTCAGAGGTCAAACAATGACATTATGAGAGGTGTAATGTAATCAGTGGATTAATCCACTGATACAGATTAATTGGGTGGTAACTATAAGCAAGTAGAGTGTGACTGGAGACAGTCAGTCCCTGGGGGTATACCTTCTGGGGTTGTATTTTGTCCTTGGTGAGAGGAGCTCTCTCAGTTTCTTGGCTGCTATGTTCTTTAAGTGCTTTCGTCTGCCGTTTCCTTCCACCATCCTGTTCTGGTTCATCTCAGGCCCAGAGCTATGGAGTAGTTCAACTGTTAACTGAATCTCTGAAATGGTGAGCCAAAATAAACTTTTCTACCTCAAAGTTGTTCTTTTCATGTCTTTTGGTGACAGCAACATAAAAGCTCACTCAAACAAATAGGTAAGCAAACTGTGGTACATACATACATGGCATGAAATGCCACTTATCATTAAAAGAGGGCACTATTGATACAATGGTCTGGGTGAAATCTCTGGCAAATCATACTGAGTGAAAAGGCCAGTCCCCAAATTTTCATATTCTATGATTTTATTTACAAAACACTCTCACAATAATATAGTTATGGATGACACAGAATTTCATAGTGCTCACCAGGAGTGAAATGGATGTGTCAGCAATGTGTGCGATCTTTGCAGTATAAAAAAATACCATCTCTTTTGACTGTATCAATGTCAGCATCCTGATTCGGATATTGTAATATGGTTTCACAAGGTATTACCACTGGAGAAAACTGAGTAAAAATTACACAAGCTGTTTTTCACTACTGAATGTGAGTTTCCAGTTGGGTCAAAATAAAAATGAAATTGAAATACTTATCCCATAAATATAAAGTGTGGCATGATATCCTCTTCTGATGCTGGGCAGTGAATCAGAGCTCCTAGGCAGCCACACAATCACTAGGGTAGACAGCCCATACTCTGTGTTTGTGTTGCTGAGCTATAATGCTCAATAGGTCAGATATGTCAAATAGTCTTACAGACAGTATTTTCAACTTATTATGGTTTTGTCAAGAAACAAAATCATAAATCAAGAAGCACTCATCATAAATCAAGAAACTATTTGTACATAAATGCAGAAATATTTTAGATGTGCAAATATATACAATATATATTTCATATAAAATTTCCATATTTCATAGATTGCATAGTAATACATATACACCCAGGAAATATGGTGATTAAAAAAGTTGGTCAGTCTTGTCAACATCTGAGCATAATAGGATGAGTTGTACTAAAACTTCAAATATATCTATCCTTTCTTTTAGCTAGTGATTTTTAAATCTTGTTGTTTCCCTCCGCCCAGGATGTGTTTGAAAATATTTGGTAGTATTTTTTGTTTTGCTTTCATAATTGGATATGCCATAAAACTTTGGTGTTCTGGAAATGAGGTTTCTACATGGACACTCAATAAACAATGGATTATTGTCCTCTTCCACATGCTAATAGTTTCTGCTGACACACTCTATTGTCTTTGGAGACAAATTATGAGATAAAACTCATGCAACACCTGTAATTACAGCAATTCAGCTGATGAAGAAGGTGAAGAAATATAGATTAAGGCATTTCATTCTATTTTTTAAAAGAATATCAAAAAAACAAAATATGGTTTCACAAGGTATTACCACTGGAGACAACTGAGTAAAAATGTCACCCAATCCACAGTCTCAGATGAAATAGAGGAAATTTGATAGCAATACATGCAATAATAACATTATCAGATTAATTTTAAATTAGTATGAGAATCATTCCAGATTTAATGTAGATTAATTGGACATTAATAATATAAAACATGAAGTAATTCCAAAAGTATGTGAAAAATATTGAAGCTATACATATAAAGGCAATGGTAGTAGAAATGTGGAAAACAGGACACATTGAAGAGATTCAAGGAATGGTTAATAGAATTGATTGGACTTGGAGAACAAATAGCATTACTAATGTCATTACCAACCTTTATTACCTTTGGTGAGTATGGTCAGCAGTTTAGCCAAGATGGCATTATATTTCTTTCATTCAAAGGCTTTTTTAGAATGATGAAGATAAGACAGGGTAAATACTTGTTCTGGAACATGATATTTGTTGTTAATGTTGTTCTTGGTTGTTGGTTGATGGGTTTCGCTTTTTTATGGTAATAAAAATCCCCTCCCTGTATGTTGCACTAAGTGACCAGCATCTCAGTTTCCCTGGGACTGTCCTGGTTTAGGTATTGAAAGTCCTGCATCCACACAAAAAATAGTGACAGACATACAGCATGATGGGTCTCTATAGCAGTATATAATATCCAGCAGTTAGAAATAAGTTTCTAATGGTGTAAAGATTATTTTATATTCTATGATTGTTTCTAGACTGAGACATGCAGAACCATTTCGTATAAATTCCATAGTTACTGCTTGCATCTAAGCAGATTTATAAGGGAAAGAATCCAATTCTGGGTAGTTCAAAACCATTTAGTGAAAAAACATGCACTTTTATTGATTTTGAATATGCATATTTCATTATGCTATATGGAAATACAGGCAATAAACTCCCTTTAAGTGTAGAGTAAGTACAAGTTTTTGAAATTTTCATTATGGTATACAAAACATTTTAGAGAAATGCTTATAACTAAGTACTTAAACATCACTATACAATTTTATTCGTGTGAAATGTGGGTGTTATTGCTTTAGTTAATCAACTCTATAAAGATGAAACATTACATACACTTTGAGCGAGCTATTGGCACAGTCAATTCTTAAACTTACAGTTTGATATAAAACAATTGTTTTGCATCCCATTTGAAAGATTGTTTACTTTTTATAAAAAAAAAAGAGTGACTTATTTCACAATCAGTCTGATTGCCTCTGTTTTTCTTACTTCACTAAAGTGTAACTGAAAATTCAACTCTGATGTGAGATTTTACTTATGTTTGTTTGACAGGTCGGCCTCACCCTTCTTTGGTTAGCCAACGCATGGATTTTGTCAAGTTCAGCTGCTTTCATGGTCCCATTGACCAGAGGCTTTCATAAAAGGAGAAATGTCTTCTGGAATATCTGACCAATATCACTTAGGAAATGCAGATCAGTTAAATATTCATCCATGTAAACATGGAATATATTTACTACACAATATTTTCAATATTTAGTACTTTTATTTTGTTACATCTGCATGTACAATGTTTAATAAATGTTAATATAATGCTTACTGTAGATTGAGGTTTATTTTTTTAAATAAAGTTTTCTTAGTTGTAGATGGACACAATACCTTTATTTTATGTGGTGCTAAAGATTAAACCTAGTGCCTCACATGTGGTAGGCAAGTGTTCTATTGTGGTTCATTTTTAATATTGACTCCAAAGAACTGTTTTATTTTTGCAAATCAGAAATATTCATTAGAGACAACATTTTTAATAAAAAATAGATTTATGTCTGTTCTTTATTATCTTCATCTTTTCTAACTGAAAAGATAAAAATAGAATTTACATGGGGAATGTATGGAATCCACTGTTGACTGGAATGGCTAAAACATGACAAGCCTACAATATGTTGATTAAATTAGATAAAGAGTAGCAGCTAAAAATTTATCTCAGATATCTGAAGTAAGTTATTATACTAGCTGAATATAATATATGTAAATATTACATCTTATACAGAAAAAATGTATTTTACAGAAAAAATTCACTATTATTAAGTTTTTATTAGCTGTTTATTTACTCAACTAGTATTGATTAAGTATTGAGTACAAGCTCAGGAATAAACACTGGCAACAGCATGAGTACTCACAGATATTGTTCATATGGATCTTAAAATTTAGTTAAACTGAATCAGAAATATCAAGAGACTTCATTTACTTTCTATCTATAGTACATTAATGTATCTTCTGGGGGGTCTACATATGTCCTGAAGTTCATTTGTTGAAGTCCTAACGCCCACTACCTCAGAATGTGACTGTATATTTAGATGAGGCATTAAGGGGGCAACTGAGGTAAGATGAGCTCATATGGGTGCATCCTCATCCAAATTGACCTTGTCATTATAAAAAGGGAGCTTTAGATGCTTACAACACATAGAGATTATAATGTGAAGACATGAGAAGAAGGTGGCCATCTTCAAGTCAAAGAGAAACTCCTAGGAAGGCATCAAATCTGTGCATATTTTGGTCATGGACTATTAGCCTCCAGAATTGTGAGAAAATAAGTTTCTGTTTTGTAAAACTCCCAGATATTGGTACTTTCTATACAGTAGTAGCAAAATAATATGCTATCTAATCTGTTTCTATATCTCTCTTTGTACATATGGCTTTAAGTTCATATTCATAGTTTAACCTTAACATTGAAGGAAAAGTCTTCAGAATTCTTTGAATAGTTCAATAGAACATATTTCAAATTCCCAGGAGATGGTGACAATAAAAGCATGTTATAGAGTATCCTGCTTATTTTGCATTGACATTTTTTGTTGTTGTTTGTTGGTTTGCTTTTCTTTCTGGTAAAATACTAAGATTTAATTAAAAGAAAAATAATCATCACATAAGCATAACTTGTTTCTCAGTTTCTTTAGAGTACGAAGCTTGATAAAGTATATTATGTTTCTTTTAAAATTCTGTAACTTTTTTTTGTATGGGGAATTGAACCCAGGGTGTTTTTAACCACTGAGTCACATCCCAGCCCTTATTTAAAAAAAAATTTTTAAATTTGTTCTAATTAGTTATACAAGACAGGAGAAGGCATTTTGACACATTATACGTAAATGGAGTATAACATCTGGTTCTTCTGGTTATACATGATATAGAGTTATACAGATAATGTAATAACAAAGTCTGATTCATTCTACTATCATTCCTAGGCCCACACCTCCTTGCCTCTCTTCACTCTCCTCTGTCTAATCCAAAGTACATCTCTTCTTCCCCTCTCCCTTATGGTGAATTAACATCTGCATACCAGAGAAAACATTCAGGTTATGGTTCTTTAGGACAGGCTTATTTTGCTTAGCATGATATTCTCCAGTTACATCTACCTACTTCCAAATGCCATAATTTTATTTCTCTTTAAGGCTGAGTAATATAACAAATTTTGTAGTTTGTATATACCACATTTTCTTTACCTATTCATCTGTTTAAGGGTACCTAGACTGGTTCTATAGTTTAGCTATTGTGAATTGAGTTGCTATAAACATTGATGTAGCTGTGTTCCTGTAGTATGCTGATTTTGAATCCTTTGGGTATAAATTAAGGACTGAGATAGTTGGGTCAAATGATGGTTCCATTCCAAGTTTTCTGAGGAATCTCCATACTGCTATCCAGAGTGGTTGCACCAATTTGCAGTCCCACAAGCAATGTGTAAGTGTAACTTCCCTCATTCCCCACATCCTTGCCAACATTTATTGTTGCTTCTATTCATTTTCTTAAAGTTTGTTTTATTTATGTATTTATTTGTTTGTCTGCCTATTTATTTATTTATTTATTTATTTATTTATTTATTTATTTATTTATTTAATGTGGTGCTGAGGATAGAAGCCTGGGCCTTGCACATGCAAAGCAAGAGCTCTACCACTAAGCCACAACACCAGCCCTTGTATTCTTGATAATAGCCATTCTGAATGAAGTGAGATGGAATCTCAGTGCAGATTTCATTTGCATTTCTCTAAATGCTAGAGATGTTGAACACTTTTTCATATATTTGTTAATTGATTCTATTTCTTCTTTTGTGAAGTGCCTGTTCAGTTCCTTGCCCATTTATTGATTGGGTTGTATTTGTGGTGTTAAATTTTTGGTGTTCTTTATATATCCTGGAAATGAATGCTGTATTTGAGGTGCATGTGATAAAGATTTTCTCCCATTCTGTAGGCTCTCTTCACATTATTGATTGTTCCTTTGCTGAGAAGAAACTTTCTAGTTTGAATCCCGCCCATCTATTGATTCCTGATTTTACTTGTTGTGGTTTAGGAGTCTTGTTAAGGAGTCAGATCCTAAGCTGACATGGTGAAGATTTGGGATTACTTTTTCTTCTATTAGGCCCAAGGTCTCTGTTTTAGTGCCTAAATCCTTGATTCACTTTGAGTTGATTTTTGTATTAAGTGAGAAATAGAGGTTGAATTTTCTTTTGCTACATATGGATTTCCAGTTTTCCCAACACCATTTTTTTAAGAGGCTATGTTTTCTCCAATGTATATTTTGAAACCTTTGGCTAGTATGAAATAACTATATTTATGTTCCCAGCCCTTGTTTATACTTTATTTAAACACAGTGTACAGCCCAGTTTCTCAGGGCCTCCCTAAATTGATAAGATTGGCTTTGAACTTGAGGTCATCTTGCCTCAGCCTACCAAGGCTATGAGATTACAAGTGTGTGCCACCGCATTTGGCTCTATAACTATCTTAATAGCATTTCTATTGAAATAATAAAAATGAGTTAAAATTTGCACTTAGTTTATGGGGATTTTTTCTTAATTACATGATGAAGTAAAGATGGCATTTGTTGAAACAATGGAAGAATCAAAAGATTATTGGAAGGTTTAGGAAGGAATACATAGAATCAAAAGATTATTGGAAGGTTTAGGAAGGAATACATAGAATCAAAAGATTATTGGAAGGTTTAGGAAGGAATACATAGGACTATGTAGCATTACATGACAGCCACTAACACTCACTCCCCTTCCTTTTTGAACATTTGCTTTCATTATTAATCTCTCATAATTACCCCCTCATTTATATAATACATTTCCATAGATTCACCTGTATTTTAAAAATACATTGCAATGAAAGGAAGAAAATTGAAACATATACTTTTATCATCTTGCTCCAATAAAGCTATGTAGTGAGGAAAAAAAAAAACTTCAATGCAAAAAAGACTGGCTTGAACCATTATTTTATTTATTTTTTATTGTAACTTGTTACATACGACAGCAGAATGCATTAAAATTCATATTACACATATAGAGCACATTTTTTTCATATCTCTGGCTGTATATAAAGTATAGTCACACCATTCATGTCTTCATACATGTACTTAGGGTCATTATGTCCATGTTATTCCACCATCATTTTTACCCCCATAGCCCATCCCATTTCCTCCCACACCTTTGCTTTATCTAGAGTTCCTCTAATCCTCCCACGTTCCTTCTCCCTACCCCACTATGAATCAGCCTCTCTATATCAGATAAAAATTCCACATTTGGTTTTTTGGGATTGTCTGAATTCACTTAGCATTATATTCTCCAACTCCATTCATGTACCAGCAAGTGCTGTGATTTTATTCTCTTTTATTGCTGAGTAGTATTACATTGGGTATATATACCACAATTTCTTTATCCATTCATCTACTGGAGGGCATCATGGTTGTTTCCACAGTTTTGCTACTGTGAATTGTGCTGCTATAAAAATTGGTGTGGCTGAATACCTATTGTATGCTGTTTTTAAGTCCCTTGGGTATAGACCAAGAAGTGGGATAGTCGGGTCAAATGTTGGTTCCATTCCCAGTTTTCCAAAGAATCTCCATACTGCTTTCCAGGTTAGCTGCACCAATTTACAGTCCCACCAGAAATGTATGAGTGTGCCTTTCCCCCCACATCCTTGCCAACACTTATTGTTGTTTGTATTCTTAGTAGCTGTCATTCTGACTAGAGTGAGATGAAATCTTAGAGTAGCTTTGATTTGCATTTCTCTAATTGCTAGAAATGTTGAACATTGTTTCATACATTTTTTAATTGATTGTATATCATCTTCTGAGAAGTGTCTGTTCAGTTCCTTGGCTCATGTATTAATTGATTTTTTTTTAAATTTTTTAAATTTTTTGGTGTTTAGCTTGTTTAAGTTCTTTATATACCCTAGAGATTAGTGCTCTATCTGATGTGCGAGTGGTAACAATTTCCTCCCAAGATGTAGGCTCTCTATTCACCTCACTGACTGTTTCTTTTGCTGAGAAGATGCTTTTTAGTTTGAATCCACCCCATTTATTGATTCTTGATTTTAATTCTTTCACTATAGGATTCTAATTAAGGAATTCAAGGCTTAATTCGACGTGATGAAGATTTGGGTCTACTTTCTCCTCTATTAGATGCAGGGTCTCTGGTCTAATTCCTAGGTCCTTGCTCCACTTTGAGTTTTGTGCATCATGTGATATAGGGGTTTTCACTTTATTGCATA